TAGTGCGTACTTTAGTTTTCAACGAACGTCATTACTTTCTAATATGTACGTCTTTACAAATAGATAAGACGTAAATATTTGGTACGTAAGTACGTCAAATTTCCTCGTACGATTTTTCTAAGCTGTTGCACCATCATAATTCGTAACTGACGTAAAAAATCGCTTGCATTGTATGTAAACAATTATTGCTACATGGACCTCATTTTATCAGATATCTTAACTTGTTTTTATTGGTTTATAGGTCGAAACAACGTGACGTTCAGATTTACAAAAAAGGAAATAAACGAAGTTCATGAATAAAGATTAATTTAGAAGGGGGAGGGCAGCAGCCCAACCGTAGACGAAAGAAAAATAAAGCGCGTTTACATATTCAACAGTTTTTAATGGTATCGCTCTATTATCTTCCCGAATGTCATATTTTTCTTTAGCCAAGCTACACCCCACTGATACATCCCTATTTCGATATCTGTAACTGTATTTTAATAATTGTAGCAACAAGATTATTGATTAATATCTGTTTTTGCAAAAAGGAAATATAGTTTTCAGCTAATAGTAGTCTTATTATAGTTGTTAGCCGTGATGGGACTTTGATTCCTGCAGAAGCTTCAATCGAGTCAAGAATGTGGAATTCTCAGTTACTTTTGACACTAAAATAACACAAAACTATTAACGCGTTGAATTTTCTAGAAGTTTTGAAAGTCACGAGAGTCTCGGAAATATTTAAACTTTCAACAACCTTGACACTGCTTGATTACGATACCGAAGAATTTGTTCATATTTAACTTACACAACTAGATTAAACGATACTACTACCACTGTCAATCAAATTTTTGTTTCTGCATTCCTTCGGAATTTTCCTCAGTTTTGTTTACCGTTTTACTCAGACCTTTAACAATTTTAAAACTTTCAAATCTCCGGAGGTTCAACATATTTAAAACTCAAAGTTACCAAGACATTGAAAGCATTCAACGCATTCAAGATAACTTAAACATTCAGACACTTAAAGAACATTCAAGATATCCAAGAATTCTAAGGCTCTAACGCATTCTCTGTCCAGTGACTCGCATATGGGTTGGGGTGGTTCAGACCCAACAAATATTGCTACGATTAAACTGAAAGTTCTTCTCAAACTGAAACAGATCAGTATATTGCGAAGGTAATAATCTGTACTGCTAGGTGAAGAAAATAAAATATTATTTCTATGAAAATATCGACATTCTATTCATTCTTGTAAGCTCTGTTCACGCATTTGGGGAACTTTCATAACATATTTTGCGAATTATTTTGATGCTTCCCTGAGGTTTTTCCTCGACTCAAGATGTGTCGAAACGGTTCGTATCCGATCGTTGGTTACTCCCCAACGCGGCATCAAAAGGAAAAACGCAGTCGCGCAAATCCTGCTCGTTTCTTGCATCAGAATGGTGCTTACGAAATTGCGAGTTTCAGATTAGCTACTGGCAAAAAGAAAGAAAGCGGCGTGCTGCCGAGATTCTGGTGGGAGACGCTCAAAGATACATGCTTAAGTCATCGGGGTGACTGATACGGGATGAGAGGGAATTTATCGAGCTAGATTAATTAACTACTATTTCCCAGGCGTGTGTCTGGCACGAGGAACGTGTGTCACGGTTCACGGAATATCTATCGAGAGTCGTTCTTCTTAGATCGCTTCGAAATACTCGCCGAGCGCTGCAGAATCGGATAGAATTTGGTAATCGATGAGAACCGGGGAACACTATGATAAAAATGTAAAACTACCTCTGTAAATTCGCGTCGCGCAACGTCGTTCGTCGTTGCATGCCGTCTCGTTGATTTCGCATAAAAATACGAGTGTTTTTCAAATTCCCCCTTCGACGTTGTATCAGAAATCGAATGCAAAATAGCGTTTCGACGCGTTTTGCTTCGTGCTCGTCCACAACAAGGGATTCGATACGCTCGGAGGAACAATCGAGGCAGGATATCGTTCTTAGTCTTGTGACGGCGATAAACCGTTCTGTAAGAAACGTCTTCGCGATTTCGTAACCAGCAATTAATCTCGCGGGAACGCTATATAATTTATCATGGTTATCACCGAATGAAAGTAGACATTTTCTTTTTTTTTTGACAATCTCTGTCTAGTAACGTCTGCTCTGTTACTAGACTTAAATGGATAATCGCTTCTGGTTAGGTTGGAGAGACGGAAAAATTATGGTTTGCAGAATTTCTTTATTATACGCAGAGAGATTCGGAATTGTAGGTGGAAAGTTAACCGATAAAGGAAATTCGTGGAAAGAAACGAGAAAGATTCCACGTATCAGTCGTTCTTGAGATATTCGGTTTTTTAGCTAATAAGCTCTACGCACGAATGAAATTTTATTTATTTTTCTTTTATAAATCTAACGATATCTCAATTATTTTTATTAGTTGTTTACACTAATCTTTTTCCCCAACCTAAATCTTTGACGTTATTATCTGACTAGTAAAATAGGACTTGTGTTTTATTTATCAACTAAGTTGTCTATGTATATCACATCTTGTACTGTGATAAGGTTTCAAGTTTATATAACTCTGCAAAATTATCAATTTTCCTTCTTTTTGTACACTGTAGAGTATTACGTTACTAATAACAATTTTTTTTTTTTTTTGCAAATACAGATTTAAAACGAACAAATGAATTAAACGCTGATATGATTGTATTATTTTAGTAAACAACCTTAAAGAATTTTACAATTAATTATTTAAGTTCTGTGCATCGAATTTTAAACATAATCCAGCCTTCAATTATTATATAATTTCATTAATATTATTTAGTGAATTGGTATACTTAAAATTTGCTGACATTATCGTGACTGATCATAATTTTAAACATAATGACGTTCAGACGTAAAATCAGCATATACATTTCATCGATAAGTGTAAAAAAATGTGTTCATAATTAAAAAGTTAATGTCGCGATGATTCGCCGCAGAAAAAGCTTGTAAATATTTAATATAAATATGTATATTTTCATGCCTCGAGTTCGATCACAAATGCTATTATCGAGAAACAACGTTACGCAAACGGTAGTACTCCGATTCATCTAGATATCCCGCCGCAGTTTTGAAAAACTTAGCAGTGACATTGCCGGAGGAATTAGGTCAGTGTCGTTGTCATTTTCATCATTCATTCAATACGACGTAACGTGGATCTGTCTTACATCATGGTTTACAAATAGTGCGAAAATTTTCGTCAGATTTTCGTGGAATTCCTATCGATCACCGGAAACATAAACTTTCCCCGAATGACTATTTCCGCACAGAAAAATTCGAAACTTTCGTCGCAGTAGTTTCTCTATTTGCGACTCAATAATTATCCACAAGAGCAAACTTCTGGACCACAAACGAGACTGTTGATTTTTGTTTCGATACATATTTTTAAACGTGCACTTAAAAGTGCCGTTGATCATTCGTTTCCACGTAATTAGTCGAAGGTAATTGACCTCACAAAGTAAAAAAATAAAAAAATCATCGGTGTTTCAAAAAATGATTTTGGGGTTGGCAACGTCCAATTACTTTAGGCGTGGCAGTCATCATCAAGTATCAATGTATTCGACAATGTAATGAAATACATAATAATTACTTTTCAAACATTTATTTATGAAATGAAAACAAAGCAGATTACGAGATTTCGAAAACCCGTTAGAATTAGTATGTTGGTTTTATGTCTGGACTTTTCACTTCTATCGCGAATGCTATCACTATTTGGGATTGTATTACCTCGTTTGGTATGAAATAATATATTACAATGTTGCTAATACGAATAAATTTAACGTATATATTAAAAGATCGTTGAAACAAATTGACATAGATTGTAAATTTAATATTGAAATAATGTGCAGTTAAATGAAAATGGACGTTCACGAACTCAAAAATTCAGAGAATTTCTAAACGTTATATTTTGAAAGAAGCAATAAGATTATTCTATGTTCTCCCTGTAAGTATAATTTCTAGAATTTATATTTTTGGTCTTATTTGTAATTTAAGCTATTCAAATTGCGCAATAGAAATTAAAAACACATTATCCGTGTATAAAAATTCGTTAAACTTTATAGTTGACTGTCAATATGTAAACAATGGTCATAATATTAAAAACGTAAAAAACAGAGAACTCTCTGTACCCCTAACTGCGTGGTAAACTAAACTTCTATTGAAGAATTTAAAAAAAATATACCTTGTCTTATTAGGAACTGTATATGATCAAAAAATATAGATAAAATTCTCTAAAAACTTCAACGAATGCTTTCTTCTCAGAAAAATGAAACATTCTGTTCAACTAGACTAGTTCGACTGTAAAAAAAAACATTTTTCGTTGTTGTTATAGTACGGTTGAAGAAATCACCTCTTGCAAAAAAATGCAGATTTTTCTTTTTCACTGAATATTTCCAAAAATAGCGGAAGCTCTCGAATAAAGTTTCTCGTTGAAACTATCGACAAAAAATCTATTAAACTACAAAAAAATAATTATTGATAACGTCATCCTATTAAAGATCTCGTTTGTATACAATCATTATTTTTGCGCGGCTTTGGAGATGCAAAAAAATGATGCAACTTTTGTGAAAACTTCTTTTTTTTATATTTCTTCACTACGCCAGAGATTTAATTTCATACGAAAAAAAATCTATATTTTTGACGAGGGGTGACTTCATCCCTTCGAGTCGTATTACGACACAAACGAAAAATTCACCTTAGAATTCAAACTTGCTTTTTGTTTCAAGAATATCCCTCGTTGCCCAGAGAATTCGTAAATATTTAAACAATAATCGCTACAATCATAGTTAAGGAACGTGTCTAAAACATAATTACTATATTTATAATTGTAAAAGTTGGATCAGACACGAGATAAAATGTAAATAGTTGACTATTAATGTTTAAGTGCGCAAAACTCGCATGTTCCTTTTCGAATACGTCAACGAAGTCTGACGCAACCAAAGCTATCGTGAAATATAAAAGCTGGGTAAACGCGGGCTGCTGTCATTATTGATAGTACTAGCGTTGGCATTTGATCGAAAAGAATGTATAGTCGAGTGCACCGCTTTTCGTGAGTATATCGAGTTGCAGAAGAAAATAGAAAACGAAACAAGATTTTATACGTCGGTTTTACAATACGATAGTTATACCATAGTACATTCTTTAAATAGAACTTTGAATAAAATCGTAACCCTCTATGTCTCGACGATCGAATATAAGTGTCGAGAAACCGTTGGAGGTGAACCCTATTGCGAAGATGCACAAAAATAGGGAGCAATTTCAAATGGATTACTCTTCGTTCAAAACGGAAGTCAGTAAACGGAGGCGGTCGGCAGCCACCAGGGAATTAAGTAAGAAGATTACTTTAACGATCTTATTCGTTTGTCACGATTAGGAGCAACAGAGTTCAGAAAAACACTTTAACCACTCTCCAGTCTAGCTTCTTTCAGTAGCTTCGGAACCGTGACATACTTTTACTTCACTTTTTAAATATTTAAAGTCACGAAGTTGTGTTTATAAATTTGTAAACTCCTTTTATTATTTATGATTTTAACGAGTCTTTATTTTCTTGTTTGTTATAGCGAAAATAGCGTACTCCGCGCCAAAAACCGTGATTTCACTGGCAGAGGGAATGCCGAACGAAGAAACGTTTCCTTTCACAGAAATTTCTATCAAACTTAACGATGGATCGTCTTTCAAGCTCGAGGACAGGGAATTGGGCGCTGCTTTGCAATATATTCCCACGCAAGGATATCCACCGCTTCTTCAGGTACTTAAAAATTGGATTCTACAGAATTTTTATTATTCTTTTACGAGAAACAAAATGTACGGAAGGTCTATACCAAACAGAGTGAAAGAGCAAGTGAATAAAGCTGTTTTGCAATTTAACTCTAATATAAATAATTTATCAGTTCAAAACGGTCCTCTTGGAAATTGATCTTACAAAAATTAGAATGTTCGGTACATTTAATGACTCTTCGTCTTCAGCGTATTGTCAAGATTTTGTGAGTTTATTGTAAATCCCTCAAATGAAAACAAATCGGACATTTATTACTTTGCAATTTGAGACATTGTTTTCGAGATATAAATATTTGAAAATTTTATGTGTGAGACCGTCATGGACACGTGTTTTGCGTATGTGTGCACGTGTGGCGTGACTAGCTGGCTGAGATATAAATAATCATCTGAGAATTACAAATTAAATCAGTAAAAAATATTAAGAATATATATTGTTGCCATTCTAAAATTTGTACACTTTCAAAGAAAACCAATACTACGTTCACATTTATCCAATAAGCGACAGTAGTGTGCGAATAATGTTATAGAAATTTCACTGTTCCAAGTACTTTGATTTATTGCCGTCGATAACACGCTTACGTAACGAAACACGATAAAATCTTGTGTTACGATCGAATCTCGAGCAACGATTCCTGTTTATCGTCGACCGCGTGTCAAATACCCGCGTAACCGCTCCTCAGTCGCTTCCTCGTTCTCCTTTTTTCCCAGGAATAATGCAATTGCCTCCAATATGTTTAACGACGTTGGACATTAAATTGGTTTCAGAGCCTGAGGGAGTTTCAGAGAAGGGCGCACGCACCTCCCTTGTGGGAGAGTCGCGACATTGTGATCGTCTCCGGAGCTCAGGACGGATTAAGCAAAACTCTCGAGGCTATAATCGGCCCTGGTGATCCGCTCCTGGTGCAGGATCCTCTTTATCCTGGCGTGGAAGTTGTGGTCAGTAATTCTCTGCTGTTCTCTGTTTACATTCGCCATTCTTTAGGATCTTCTCTCGCTGAATTTCACATAGATAAAATTCTATTGCTTCGACGAAAGAACGGAATCCTCCACTTCTTCAAAAATAATTAATCCAAAACTATGCATTCGGTGGTATCGACACAATCATGTAATTTGCCACAACCCCTGATATTGCATAATTATTATTGTGTTATTCAAATATAAAATCGTACAATTATGCGTGTCAGCCTTTGATGAAATTCGTGTGATACAAATATGGAGGTGTTTGTACTTAGTTATTTCATTTCTTGAGGCGTCAAATTTTCAGCACTGTGCGGTACATGGTTTAAAGGAAACAGACTCGAAAGGAATCGTTTTTCGTTTACAGGTCGCCCCGCATGAGGCGGAGCTGATCGCCATTCCCCAAGACGAGGATGGCATCGTTCCTGAAATTCTCATGGAAACGTTGAGGGAAAGGCAACTCTCAGGAAAGAAAATGCCGAAGTTAATGTACATAAACGCAACCGGGTCGAATCCCACCGGCGTTGTTATTCCGTTGGATAGGCGGAGGGAGATCTACAGGATAGCCTGCGAGTACAACTTCCTGATCTTGGACGACGATCCTTACCACTTCATGCACTTTGAAGAAGTGAGTAGTGTTTCCTGTTCTTACATTGCAATACTATAGACAACTAAATGCAATCGAAACTTATTGTATGAAAGAAACACAATAATACAATGATTCAGAGCAAAGTAAAGATATTATCCGACATATCTAGAAAATTTCATAAACTGGTTCGTAAACAATTCTCTAATTGCTTCGACAACGAGCAAATCCATAAAATTACTCGATTTCCCATTATACGTTATTAATATCAGACATAATTTATGAAATTGTTGGTCAATATTAAATACAGAGGCTCACGTAATTATTGTGTACATTGATCCGTTTCTAAATCGATTGTTTCATACAGTATTAGAAGCGAGAAACTGTTTGGGATGGAAATTAAATTTTGAAGGAAATTTTGAACTGAAACGTAACTATTCTTATGCACAGACGGAACCTAAATCGTTCTTATCAATGGACACGGAAGGTCGTGTGATCAGGTTGGACTCTTTTTCAAAAGTGATCAGCAGTGGTATCAGATTGGGATTCATCACAGCTGCAACGCCACTGATAGCAAGCATAGAGCTTCACTTGCAGAGCAGTCACCTTCACGCGCCTACTTTATCACAGGTTGGTAGCATGGTTTTCGCTTCCCCATTGTTGGTACAGTCGTTTTATCCCTTCGAAAAGGGGAACATTACCCCCCTGATATTCGAAACTCACTCTCGGCCTCTGTTATCCAAGATAGATAAATTGCAATGAATATTGCATCTTGGTCAAAATAATTAATCGATGATTTGTTCAACCAGTATGTTAAATTTCGCGGCCACAAAAATGAGTAGAGACTGTTGCCACCTATCCGATACGTTTACGTAATTCCTTCATTGATAATGATCTATTATTCATAAAACTGTTTCACTGACATTCAGTTAAATTATAAAAATTATTGATAAATTACATTGCACAGTGACTTATTTTCATTGAACAGGTGATCGATGAATGAAATAATACTTATTCTTTAGTATGTGTGTGATACACTGAGTGATCAGTATGTAACGATAATTGTGTTACTGACCATCTCTCAAACGCTATTCTAAGCGAATTCAGTGTACCTGCCATTTTTAACCCCCTTTATTTTGAATTAATAATTCGATCTAAAATCCAGCTATTAAAAAATGAAAGAGGATCTAGATGGAAGCTACTTAAAAGAAGAATTACAAAAGTTGTAAATTTGTAAATGTAATGATTGATTGTATATTTCTAACAATACATTTGTAAGTCGAATACTCGAAGACTAAGATACGCGAAGGCGGCAGCAAGTAATAAATCATAAACATATGTTGATACATAATCGTATCACTGCACGGTTAATAAATATATCTTCTAGTATCGCGAAACGAGGCGTTCGAGCGCGTGTTGTAAATATTATTCTCCCTGATATGATGAAATATGGTTGGAAAAGTATCTGACCGTCCCGCACGCTTCGAGCGATTATAGTTCGACGCGCGCGTAAGGTGGCGCGTGTCGACTCTTATCAATAATGTTAATACCCGATCGACTGTTATCGACGCCGAAACCACAAACGATTTATGCGTGACTATTCTGTATTTGTAGGTGATAATATACAAGCTGATGAAAACCTGGGGGTACGACAGGCTAATGAACCATTTCAAGAGGCTAAGGTGTTTCTACAAGAAACGCAGGGACGTTATCGCCGCTTTGGCTGAGAAACACTTGTGTGGTACGTATTAAGAAATAAATTACAAACTGTTCGATTGTTGCCTGAATTCTCTGCGTATCGAGTACTATCACACATTTTCTTTTATTTGTTATCCTTGACAACAGGAAACGGAAGATGATTGCTATAAAAATGACAATAGAGGAAAATTTTGAATTAATTTAATTAGTTTACTTGCAATTCGTTTCTATACACGACGAACTCTTGAGAAGAATTAATATGCAGAGATTGTTCAGAGTTAATTACATTATCGTTGATGTTGTAGCAAATGCAATTACAATAGATTGTCTGTTCTATAGGCCTGGCAGAATTCACGTTGCCTAAGGGAGGCTTCTTTCTGTGGATCAAAGTTCAAGCCATCAAGGATACTTGGAAGATGATCATGCAAGGAGGAGTCAAGGAAGGCGTCATAATGGCGCCTGGTGCAGCCTTCATGAAGGATCCTAGCAAACCTTGCAATGCTATTAGGGCGAGTTTTTCCAAAGCAACTTACGAAGAAATGGATATGGTACGTTATAGATACTCACTTCTATCATCGACGACTAATTGAGCATGCTAGAAAAAGAATATCTTGTTTATAATGTAAACATTACCAACTGTGAGCATGCTCGTATTGATCTTTTATTACATTTTTTTTCCAGGCATTACAGAGGTTGGCAATGCTGATTAAAGCCGAGCTGGATGATAATTACTGAATAATAAATAGAAATACGTAGCGTTAATAGTAGTATTACAATTGTCTAAGTACCATAAATAGCATTTTTTATACTACCAACAGTGACTAAGAAACGACCGTATCGATAACATAGGATGTTTGAATGAAATACTATCTGTTGGTAAAAATTGAATCGCGTTATCGAATAGAGGTAACTTATCGATGCATACTAGAATAGAAGTTAAAAAAGTACTTTCATAAATGATGGTACCGAACCCCATAAAAATATTTTTCATCTCGTCTTTTAGAGAAGACAGCAAAACTAAAGTTTGTACCGACGTTTACTATTTATAATTGCCTATTATAATAATCCTTTTTTTATCATTTAATGCGACGAAACCAAATTGGCGATATTTCACGACAATCCTGCTGGATTCATCCCATCGTTCATTCACGAGCTCATTATTATTCATTATGTCATCAACATCAATTTCATAACTTGCCAAACATCTAATGCAAATTTCGTATGTACTTAATTAATGTAAACGAACTACTCAGTTTGCTCCTTTTATATTATATTTATTAATTATCTTATTCTTAAATATACTTTCTATATTTGACCGCAACACGCGCTCGATTCCTTCTGGAAAACAAAAGAACGGGGATACGACCCGACGCATCATCGCTAGATGTTGGCCCTCTTATACATTAAAATACAAATGTAATATCCAATAATTATCATGGATGTTTGTAATCATTCATTATTTGACGCGTGATTCTATCACAGATGAGCGAAGCATTGTGTGAATATTGAACTTCTTGTAAAATTATCTTTTTGTAATAAAATTTTGTTAACTGTACCAATGTGCAAAAAATTTGACAGACCTCCAAAACAGACCACCAAAAATTTGAAAGAAACTGGCGCGCGTGTAATTTTTCACTGCAAGTTGTGAAACAAGAAAACATGCAAGTTTCTTAAATTATAAGACAGTAGCTTCAGTTGCACGAAAGAATAAAATAATTATTTATTATAAAATGGTGTAACTTTGAAGTAAAAATCTAAAAAAACTGTGACAAAATTCAATTTTTCTTTTAATACCACGACGAAACTAATTATTCGATCGAAATATTTCTCATAGTTTTTCCTTTATTAAGATTTTAAATATAAAGTATAAGTTTCTAAAAATATCAATTTTTCACTGTTCTCGTATTATATAGAATTTTATTGTTTCATAAAATGTGTATTTGATAAATAAAATGTACAAATGAATTAGACTTCTACATAATTATATTATATTTTAATAATTTTTGATTGCATATAGTATTCCAAAATTTGTTCATATCGAAAAAGCTTCTTTTTTATCAAACGTTTATGAATATTTAAACTATAATGACTTCGATTACAATTTTGAAGGTCATCCATTATAATAATCAATTAGAAACGTAAATAGCCGAAACATATTTACTATAATTACAACCTTGAAGAGTCACTCACGATAATGACGGCGAATAATTAGTTTTTAAAATGTTATTCTTGCAATACTCGTATTTTTCCTGTCGGGTATTCGTTGTCAAAAGCAATCAGAGATATTGCGAAATATAAAAGCCGGATAAAAACAGAAAAACCTTTTAAAATTCATAGTATCGAGTTTAGCATTAAACCAAAAAACATGTATAATCAGTCGTCCCGATTTCTATGAGCATATAGAAAACAGGAAACGGAAGATTTTATATGCCAGTTTAATAATACATTCATTAAATAGTACCCCAATTAATATCCTCTGTCAACAATCGAACAATAAGTAACGAGATACCGTTGAAAGTGAATCTAGTCCTCAAAATACATCAAAATAGGGACCAATTTCAAATGGATTATTCTTCGTTCAAAACGGAAGTCTGTAAACGGAGGCGGTCGGTAATCACCAGAGAATATAGTAAGAAGATTACTTTAACGATCTTATTCGTGTGTCATGATTAGGAGCAACAGCATTATTTTTATTTCACTTTTTAAATATTTAAAGTGACGAAGTTGTGTTTAGAAATTTGTAAACTCCTTTTATTATTTATGATGTTAACGAAGCTTTATTTTCTTGTTTGTTATAGCGAAAATAGCGTACTCCGGCGCGAAAACCATGATTACACTGGCAGAGGGAATGCCGAACGAAGAAACGTTTCCTTTCACAGAAATTTCTATCAAACTTAACGATGGATCGTCTTTCAAGCTCGACGAAAGGGAATTGGGCGCTGCTTTGCAATATATTCCCACGCAAGGATATCCACCGCTTCTTGAGGTACATAAAAATTGGATTCTACAGAATTTTTATTATTCATTTACGAAAAACAAAATGTACGGATGATCTATACCAAACAGAGTAAAAGAGCGAGTGGATGAAGCTGTTTTGCATTCCTGACCCCAATTTAAATTACGTTTTAATATGAATAATTTGTCAGTTCAAAACGGTCCTCTTGTCCGCCCCTCAGTCGCTTCTTCGTTCTCCTTTTTTCCCAGAAATAATGCAATTGCCTCCAATATGTTTAAGGATGTTGGACATTAAATTGGTTTCAGAGCCTGATGAAGTTTCAGAGAAGGGTGCACGCACCTCCCTTGTGGGAGAGTCGCGACATTGTGATCGTCTCCGGAGCTCAGGACGGATTAAGCAAAACTCTCGAGGCTATAATCGGCCCAGGTGATCCGCTCTTGATACAGGATCCTCTTTATCCTGGCGTGGAAGTTGTGGTCAGTAATTCTCTGTTGTTCTCTGTTTACCTTCGCCATTCTTTGGGATCTTCTCTCGCTGAATTTCACATAGATAAAATTCTATTGCTTCGACGAAAGAACGGAATCCTACACTTCTTCAAAAATAATTAATCCAAAACTGTGCATTCGGTGGTATCGACAAAATCATGTCATTTCCTGCAACCTCCGATATTGCATAATTTTTATTCTGTTATTCAAATATAAAATCGTACGATTATGCGTGCCAGCCTTTGATGAAATTCGCGTGATACATATATGAAGGTGTTTGTACTTAGGTATTTAATATCTTCAGGTGTTAAATTTTTAGCACTGCGCGGTACATATTTTGAAAGAAACAGACTCGAAACGAATCGTTTTTCGTTTACAGGTCGCCCCGTATGAGGCGGAGCTGATCGCCATTCCCCAAGACGAGGATGGCGTCGTTCCTGAAATTCTTATGGAAACGTTGAGGAAAAGGCAACTCTCAGGAAAGAAAATGCCGAAGTTAATGTACTTAAATGCAACCGGGTCGAATCCCACCGGCGTTACTATTCCGTTGGATAGGCGGAGGGAGATCTATAGGATAGCCTGCGAGTACAACTTCCTGATTCTGGACGACGATCCTTACCACTTCATGCACTTCGAAGAAGTGAGTAGTGTTTCCTGTTTTTACATTGCAATACTATAGACAACTAAATGAAATTAAGGGATCAGTCGTTTGGGTGGTTCTATGATTTGGTAAAACGAGATCTTAGAAAATTGTCAGTGTCCTAGTTTTTGCGATCTCATCGAAGATTTGCAGGGGAACCCGATAAAATGCAATATCAAATTGTCGAATTTTATTATGGAAAACTGAAATAACTTTTAACTTGTTTCGTGTACATCAATTTTTGTGTTTCGGATTAATTTTGGAGGAAGTCACTGAAACATAACTATTCTTATGCACAGACGGAACCTAAATCGTTCTTATCAATGGACACGGAAGGTCGTGTGATCAGGTTGGACTCTTTTTCAAAAGTGATCAGCAGTGGTATCAGATTAGGATTCATCACAGCTGCAACGCCACTGGTAGAAAGCATAGAGCATCACTTGCAGAGTTGCCACCTTCAAGCATCTACCTTATCACAGGTTGGTAGCATAGTTTTCGCTTCCCCATTGTTGGTACAGTCGTTTCATCCCTTTAAAAAGGGGAACATTATCCCCCTGATATTCGAAACTCACTCCACAGACGAGGTATATGATCATATATACCTCGTCTGTGGTCACTCTGGATGTCTGTTATCCACGATAGATAAAATTGTGTGTAAATACGTGTGAGTTGACTATGGATGAGATTAAAAATCGCAATTTTCAAACGACCATAACTCCTACAATAGTGAATGTATTTCATTGAACTTTATTTCTGAAGTAGAGGTCATGGATAGCTACTAAAAAGTGTCTAATTTGCATTGATACCTATAATTTCACGATGGGAACGTTTTTTAAATGGAATACTCGAAGGCCAAGATGCGTCACGGTGATAAGCAGCTAATAAATTATAAACATATGCCGATACTGTCATTAAAAGTCATATCAGCGTTCATTTACAAATATTATTCTCCCCGATATGATAAGACGGGCGCGTGTCAATTCATGTCAGCAATTTTAATACCCGACTGTTATCGATGCCCAAACCACAAATGTGACTATTCTGTATTTTTAGGTGATACTATACAAACTGTTGGAAACCTGGGGATACGACAAACTAATGAGTCATTTTGAGAGTGTAAGGTGTTTCTACAAGAAACGTAGAGACTACATCGCTGCCTTGGCTGAGGAACACTTGAGTGGTTCGTGTTAATAAATAATTTACCAACTGTTTCGGTTATTCTTCGAATTTTCTGCTCATACTCCTATATTCCATTTTTTCGTTTCTTTTTTTGTAAATACAATCATTCTACATCTATCAAGTTGTTTTTATCTTAAAGAAACTTTTAATATTTATTATTTATAATAACGTTTTATGCATGTTCTTTTATTTTGAATCTTTAATAGCAAAAAACATAAGGCGGTTGCTATAGAAATTACGATAGAGCAAAGTTTTCAATTAATTTAAATTATTTATTTGCAATCATTCACCGTACTCGGTGAACTTTTGCCATAGAACACATAGTAACTATCGACACGCAGAAATGTTATGATAAAGGCAATTACAATGGATTCTATCTATTCTATAGGCCTGGTAGATATCACATTGCCTAGAGGAGGCTTCTTCCTATGGATCAAAGTTCGAGGGGTCAAGGACACTTCGAAAATGATCGTGCAACGAGGAATCGAGGAAGGTATCCTAGTGCTACCTGGTTCAGATTTTATGTGCGATCCCAGCAAACCTAGCGATGCTATTAGATTGTCGTACGGCCAGGCTTCTTACGAAGAAATGGATCTGGTACGTTATACTTAATACCTAAGCCAAAATCTCTGCACGAACTATCGAACATACCAATCTGAAGTGAATTATGAAACATTTATACCTAAGTTCGAATTTCGTCTTCATTTATTGTATAATTTCCACATTTATAAAAAGCTCTATTCTAATATTGTTCTTACAAGACATTGACTAATATTAATCGTTAATTAGTAAAGCAGGTATTGTTTGAATAATTTATCATGAATGAATATATTTTATCCTCTATTAATCCTCCATTGAGTAAGTTGTATTTTTGTTCTCTTTTCAGGCGTTCAAAAAATTGGCGAAGTTGATCAGATCCATACAAGATTAAGTCGAGATACTGACTTAATAAATGACCAGCACGAATGCTGAATATAGCATAAGATAGCACGTACACAACTGATCACCAGCGTCGATTCGTACCTTTTTGATTGCAACTCACCAATCGCTAATGCAGCTGCTTAGCGATTCCTGGACCCTACCCTGAAAACGAACGCGAAAAAAATAATCGCAACACTAAAAATACTCGCGATCAAATTCATACTATTTACAACTAGCAAAGCCACTAATATTCTGCAAACCGAGATTAATGTTTATACGCAACTCTACCCTGGAAAAGAAACGCGAAAGGCTCTGATTGTTCGCAACCCTAAATGAAACTATACAATTTATGCAATTAATTTGCATCATTGACTAGGCAAATAAACGCGAATAATTCGTACTTCGCAACGCTAATGGCAAACCGTTATCAGTTCTTGTTCGCTACACTACTCTGAAAGAAAATGCGACAATATTATCCGCAACTCTAACGTTAATCATGATATATTTGTATTCATCGCAACACTAATGCAAACCGCGATTTGTCCGAAACAACTGATCGTTGTGGTACAAGTACCATCTGAAAAACTACAATTACTACAGCACATACTACCACTACTACTACTACAATTACAGACGAATACAGTGACACAATAGAATCAAATAATGATTCTCCATCCTCATCCGAAGATGAAGATGAAGAACCATTCGTTGCAGCCCACTCTTGCGACAGTTTGTCAGGGCCTCTTCGACTTCATCGAGTCTTTTCTTTCTTCGGCGGTAATGCCGAAACCTGAAACTTAATACTAGGCTCGAGATTCCGTGCAATACACAGTCTTCCAACAATTCTACGAATTGTTATCGGAACTGGTGTGAAGAAACTCGAGCGGGACGAGCGTTTCGAGAGGGGCTAACCACGACCGCGAACGCGAAGAACGACTTTAAAGTCGCGGCGATTCCAAGAATGGAAAATAACACCAAAACAAACGGTACAAACCGTTTGGATCGGCCAACTTTTCCACTCTCGAATCGAACTATAGGTTACAGGACTGCCACGCGAAAACGCGCCTACCCGAGAAAAGACTGTGGACAGCCCTGCCCTGACCCTACCAACTTAGATCTAACACACGCGTACCAGAACTTAAGTGACCTACCTACCTAACCCTATATTTAAAAATTTGCAAAACGCATTCTCACAAACAAACACTCCACGATTCTCATACATAATGTTCGGGCGCGGCCTAAACTAGGGAGGACGCCCCGAGGTTCCTCCGACACCCGAACATTGCAAACATTCACACTCTAAGGTACGTACCATTTGCTGAAATCAGCTGACAAAAACTAGCGTCCATTGCGTATGTCTAATATATGTATACCATAAAAATGTTTGAAAATATGTAATATAGTTTTTAATAAAATATAACGAGAAGTTAATCTATTAAGCATTGTATGATATTACTATCGCGTATGTAATATCAACTATTGCCAAATAAATGGTAAATAGAATTTGAAATTACTATTATAATTAATAAGAATCTGGTATTACCAAATTCTGAATTACAGAATAATGAACTTTTGAAACGACGCAGTTCCACAGCCTAACCACACACACACATGTGGAAATACGTCGCGCACGATACACTAGCATTGTCAGCCTCCCACATAGATTGTTCTTACTTTTACAGTCTAAATCATCGTGCTTATTGCCTTTGCTCACCCGCGTAGCACCTGCGCACGTGGATGAGTTCAGGCAACAAACACGGAAAATTATGCTGAAAATCCTCAACTAGAAAGACTGATTAGTAAATAATAACGAGATAATATAATTTTTGTTCGTATCTTATTCACAATTGCAATGAAAAGATCTTTTATTTGTAATAAACGAAGACCAAAAATTTGGAATATATTAATATTGGAAAATGTTAATATCGAAGAAATTTCTATAATCAAAATTTAATTATTTAGAAGAAAAGACTTTAAGACGAAGTAAATTACTTTGGAAATTTAAGACAATTCTTTGGGGGGAATTTATTGAATTTTTAATTAAAATATATAACTACCCTCGGGTCGATTTCGTTGTCAAAGTGATTTATTTAAAAAATGAAAATAGTAAACAATGCATGTGACTTCGACTTGGAAATCTACCCGCCGCGAAATACCTTCCTGTATATGAAATGCAACATCATATTTTTAAACGACTAACAAAAGACTGTAGTATCTTCCATAGACACTCATCGAATTATATTTTAACATGAAATAAGAAAAATATAAAAAACGATCAATATTCAATACATGTATTGATATAATAATATCAATACAATCATCATTCTATATTAAATATAATAAAAAGTAAAAACATATAATTTCATTATAATTACTTTTCATATTTTAACATTACTCAGTTGCATGCACATATTAAAACACGCGGAATACAGGAAGGCCCTAGCCTGAACTAAATAATAAAAAAGTACAAGTCACTGTATCCGTCAAAGATAGCACGTATACAACTGGTCACCAGCGTCGATTCGGACCTTTTTGTCCTACGACGTGATTGGGGACCAGAGGAATAAAAATTGGCATGCAACTCACCAATCGTTGAATGCAAATTCCCGGACGACGTTGTTGTCCACTAGAAGTCATCTCCGAGGCCAGCAACAAAGTCAGCAACGAAGTCATCCAAGGTGTTATCTGGATCCGCAAGTAGATACCTTGATGGGATGTTAAGATCCTGTAAAAAGACACAGCAAACATTACACCCTATTTGTTAAATTATAGAGCTTTGAATTTCAATAAAAAATTTAATGTAACAAAATTTAAAACGAAGAATTTTGTTCTAAATGCACTCGGAACAAAGTACGAAGATACTTACATTTTTGCTCGTGGGCATCGCCAAATACTCCTGTTCAGTGATGGACTGACTCTACTATAGCGTTTCATAAAGGAAAGAGAGCCCCGGTGCTCAGAACAAAATTCAAGAGAACGTAATACACACTGACTCGACTCCACGAATCCCTAAAATCGAAACGATAATCTACCAGAAGCCTCTGTGCTTCGAAAAACAAGAAACTCTAAACGATACAATCACTGAATTTACTGGCCGCATTGCGCGCGGTCGTTAAAATTTCTGAAAGAGAAAAAGGAAAATGGCGTTAGAAATAAAAAATAATTCAGTAAGCACACAGATCTGTCTATTTATCGATTTAGTATTAAATTTCATCGATAAAAACAAAAAAGTATGTCAACATACATGGGTATATACTCACTTGTTATAATGAAATTAATTTTGCCAATATTGCATTTCAAATTCCTTTGACATGGCGTGGCGTCCATTAACATGGCGGCTATTGCATACCGGTAGCGCCTCTTAGAGTCGAATTGCAGCAAAGTCTCGAACAGCAATAAAACACAAATTACGGTCTAATGCGTTCAAATAAATGTTCCTTTACCTTAATTAAACATCGACAGAACCCGAAATATGGTCTATGAATTGATAATTACGTTTAGAGGTATCATAATTGATGTCGATTAACACGTAAGAAATCGCGCGTAATTGACTCTACTTTTTCCGCGATTCCGGTTGAATTTCTAATAGACTCGTGTTAATATTGCATGAAAGCATCAACAAAGAGTAACGGAAAGTACTACGCGCGATTCGGAACATTCAGATGGCAATAATTAAAAATTACGTACCTCATTAGACGCGAAGCCTGACAACGCACGAAGGACGAGTGACGAGCGCCGAGCAGACTAGCCGTCAACCGAGGCGAAGGAACTTGGGCAGAGTGGAGTGGGGGGGGGGATGGTCCAACGTCTCGACTCTCGGTTCGTATTTCCCAGGGAAAAGTTAACCTTATATTTCGAATAACATTGATAATATATATATTTAGGATCTGTGGCTGTAAAATAAATACAGAAACTTTACTTTACGTCGTACGACACATACTCCCGCTAAATACTGTTCTAATCTATTACACGTCTGTACGGATTCGTTGTGTATTTTATCATACTTATTCAAAGTAATTTTATTTTTACCTCTGCTGACATTCGTAAACCAGGATCAGTGGTTCGAGATACTTGCGTTTTGGAAACTCAATCAGTGCGTGTTTACATCTTTAGCTGCCGGCCTCTCGACTTCACCTTGGAGCTGGGCTCACGAGAAACTGTGTTTTTACACGTCTACACGGTCATTGTCTGGCACGTTAATCCGTGTGGCACGAAAAAACTATTGCTGCTGACATCTGTGCCTGCACAACAGATTACCCAATGTTATCGACACAGAATCACGATTTGTGTATCCAATAACAGCTCGATATTCAATGTTCTAGCAGAGCCAATGAGCGGCTTGCATTCTGACGTCACAAGAATCTAACGATAATAAATCATTAAGTAATTAATTGTTTGTTTGATATCTTTCTGCATTTATTTTACAGCCGAAAATCCTAAATATATATATCATCAATGTTATTCGAAATATAAGGTTAACTTTTCCCTTGGAAATACGAACCGAGAGTCGAGACGTTGGACCATCCCCCCACTCCATTCCGCCCAAGTTCCTTCGCATCGGTTAACGGCTAGTCTGCTCGGCGCTCGTCACTCGTCCTTCGTGCGTTGTCAGGCTTCGCGTCTAATGAGGTACGTAATTTTTAATTATTGCCATCTGAATGTTCCGAATCGCGCGTAGTACTTTCCGTTACTCTTTGTTGATGCTTTCATGCAATATTAACACGAGTCTATTAGAAATTCAACCGGAATCGCGGAAAAAGTAGAATCAGTTACCCGCGATTTCTTACGTGTTTAATCGACATCAATTATGACACCTCTAAACGTAATTATCAATTCATAGACCATATTTCGGGTTCTGTCGATGTTTAATTAAGGTAAAGGAACATTTATTTGAACGCATTAGACCGTAATTTGTGTTTTATTGCTGTTCGAGACTTTGCTGCAATTCGACTCTAAGAGACGCTACCGGTACGCAATAGCCGCCATGTTAATGGACGCCACGCCATGTCAAAGGAATTTGAAATGCAATATTGGCAAAATTAATTTCATTATAACAAGTGAGTATATACCCATGTATGTCGACATACTTTTTTGTTTTTATCGATGAAATTTAATACTAAATCGATAAATAGACAGATCTGTGTGCTTACTGAATTATTTTTTATTTCTAACGCCATTTTCCTTTTTCTCTTTCAGAAATTTTAACGACCGCGCGCAATGCGGCCAGTAAATTCAGTGATTGTATCGTTTAGAGTTTCTTGTTTTTCGAAGCACAGAGGCTTCTGGTAGATTATCGTTTCGATTTTAGGGATTCGTGGAGTCGAGTCAGTGTGTATTACGTTCTCTTGAATTTTGTTCTGAGCACCGGTGCTCTCTTTCCTTTATGAAACGAGATAGTAGAGTCAGTCCATCACTGAACAGGAGTATTTGGCGATGCCCACGAGCAAAAATGTAAGTATCTTCGTACTTTGTTCCGAGTGCATTTAGAACAAAATTCTTCGTTTTAAATTTTGTTACATTAAATTTTTTATTGAAATTCAAAGCTCTATAATTTAACAAATAGGGTGTAATGTTTGCTGTGTCTTTTTACAGGATCTTAACATCCCATCAAGGTATCTACTTGCGGATCCAGATAACACCTTGGATGACTTCGTTGCTGACTTTGTTGCTGGCCTCGGAGATGACTTCTAGTGGACAACAACGTCGTCCGGGAATTTGCATTCAACGATTGGTGAGTTGCATGCCAATTTTTATTCCTCTGGTCCCCAATCACGTCGTAGGACAAAAAGGTCCGAATCGACGCTGGTGACCAGTTGTATACGTGCTATCTTTGACGGATACAGTGACTTGTACTTTTTTATTATTTAGTTCAGGCTAGGGCCTTCCTGTATCCCGCGTGTTTTAATATGTGCATGCAACTGAGTAATGTTAAAATATGAAAAGTAATTATAATGAAATTATATGTTTTTACTTTTTATTATATTTAATATAGAATGATGATTGTATTGATATTATTATATCAATACATGTATTGAATATTGATCGTTTTTTATATTTTTCTTATTTCATGTTAAAATATAATTCGATGAGTGTCTATGGAAGATACTACAGTCTTTTGTTAGTCGTTTAAAAATATGATGTTGCATTTCATATACAGGAAGGTATTTCGCGGCGGGTAGATTTCCAAGTCGAAGTCACATGCATTGTTTATTATTTTCATTTTTTAAATAAATCACTTTGACAACGAAATCGACCCGAGGGT